TCTCTAATTGGTTTCATTTTATATTTTAATCTCTTGTCTCACTGAGATTCTATACTCTTTTCTCAAGCCCTGTAAGTATGATCATTACTTTGAATTCTTTATGTATACTGTTTATCTTCATTTCATTTAGCTCTTTTGCTGTGGTTTTGTTTTGTTCTTTCATTTGAAAAATAGTACTCTGTTTCCCCAGTTTGTCTAACTCTCTGTTGTTATATATTAGGGAAGTTGGGTATGTCTCCTGATCTTGAAAGTAGTGGCAGCCTGCTGAATTAAACCTAGTAAAGCAATGTAGTAGGAGAAAAATCATCAAGAAGAGACTAGATTTTGATTTGGTCTTTTTTATTATTATTGTCTTTAAAGAAAGTTAATAAGTTGGCTATTGGACAGTAGAGACTAAGGGTTGTTCTTCCTGTAAAACAGCTGGATCAGTAAGGTACCCATGTTAACAATTAATAAGTCACTGGTACAAATTAAGAGAAATGTAGACTAATATTAATTAGTTCAGATAAAGTATAGGTTTTGTAAAATGGAGGATTATTTTCAGTTAGAGATTGGGCAAACAATTTGTAGTATTCACTAAGAGAAAAAAAACAAACCTTGAAATTATATTAGGTAGTAGAACTAGAGCTTCAGCAAATCTTGTTAGAATGTCAGTTGTGGGGCCACCTGGGTGGCTCAGTCATTAAGCGTCTGCCTTCGGCTCAGGTCATGATCTCAGGGTCCTGGGATCAAGCCCCGCATCTGGCTCCCTGCTCCATGGGAAGCCTGCTTCTCCCTCTCCCACTCCCCCTGCTGTGTTCCCTCTCTTGCTGTGTCTCTGTCTGTCAAATAAATAAATAAAATCTTTAAAAAAAAAAAAAAAGAATGTCAGTTGTGCACACAGTCCCATGTAGGTGCTCCAGGAGGCACAAAAGTTAAAGGAGCTTATAGGCCAAAAGGGCTAAGATGTGAGTGTAGGCAACTCTGGATGGTTTGATGAGACATACAAACCTCATGCTACAAGTAGCTCAGAGGCAGAGCAGTTGCTTCCATTTGGTCCCCCCATGATCATCAGGGAAGACTTCAAGAAAGATGTGGTATTTGAAATGACCAGTACAGATGAGTGGGATATTAGTAGTTGGAAATGACAAAAAAGAAAGAGATGGACAAGGAAGTACAAAGGAAACTCAGGACATGTTCAGAGAATAGAACTTGGCTGGTTTGGGGCAGAGCATGAAAAGATACTAAAAGGTAAAATTAGAAGAGTTGGTTCAGGTAAGATCAACAGAAGCCTTGACTTCTAAAGTAATTTGATCTTTTAAATATTTATTGAGAAGCTTTTAAATGTTTTAGAACTGAAGGTGAGATGAAAAGAGCTTTCATTATTGTAGTTATCTTGCTACTCCATATCAGATAAGCTTGCATGGAAAATCTGGAGGCGGGGAGATAACTGAGGTGGAATTTACTATAACCTGAGAAAGAGGTGAATGATTAAAGGACTAAAGTACTGGGAATGGCCTAGAAGGGATAAATATAAGAGAGAAAGACCATTAATGCAAGGTTAATTTGTGTTTTCTATTAGTGACTGGTAAAAGAAAAGACAAATGAAATATCTAATTTGAGGCAGGAAAAAAATTATTTCAGATAAGACATATCAAGGAGGTGGCTAGAAATATAAGGCTAGAACTCAAAGAAGAGACTAGGTAAGTGTCAAAAAGGGGAACAGCTAGGACAAGAATGACAAAGTCATTGGGCTTTACCCATCACACTTTATGTCAGAAATTTTCCATCTTGGCATTATTACCTTTTGGGACCAGATTGTAGAGTTCTGTCCTGTGCACTGTAGATTGTTTAATAGTATCTCTGACTTCTACTCGCTTAGATGCTAGTAGCTGACCCCAGTTATGACAATCATAAAAATCTCCAGACATTGTCCAAGGTCCCCTGGAGAACAAAATCACCCCCAGTTGAGAATCATTGGTTTATAAGAATAAAGATGTAGACACAAAATAGTCATCAGATATTGCTTCTTGATCATTTTTTCAAACATTGTAAGTATAACAGTTTTAACATTAAATATTAAAACATGTGGGCTGGGGACAGTTGGTTAAGCACCTGCCTCTTGATTTCCACTCAGGTCATGGTCTCAGGGCCATGAGATCGAGCCCTGCATCAGTCTCCACACTGGGCATGGAGCCTACCTAAGATTCTCTCTCCCTCTGCCCCTCTCCTCCTTCTGCCCCTCTCTCCCTGCCCCTCCCTCTCTCTCTCTCTTTAAAACCAACAACAACAACAACAAAAACCCATGCAGACCAAAGCATAGTCATCTACAAAAAGATACTTGTTAAAACATTGCACTTATGGTTGGCATTAAAGCAGAAAATGGCAGGTAGTTTCCTCTATCAATGTCAATAGGTTAGCTGTTTCAATGGTAGGTGGTAGTTTTGGTAGCAGAAATAGTGGTATTCCTACTAGTGTTCCTACTAGTGATAATAGTTAATGTTAACTAAACGCATACTATGTGCATATATTCTACTAAGCACTTTATATGGATTATCTCACTCATCCTCACAAAAATGTTGTAAAAATACATTTTCAAGATAAGTAAACAGATACTTAGAACAACTTATTCAGGGGGCGCTTGGGTGGCTCAGTGGTTAAGCATCTGCCTTTGGCTCAGGTCACAATCCCAGGGTCCTGGGATCAAGCCCCGCATCAGGCTCCCTGCTCGGAGGGAAGCCTGCTTCTCCCTCTCCCACTCCCCCCTGCTTGTGTTCCTGCTGTCATTGTCTCTCTATCAAATAAATAAATAAAATCTTAAAAAAAAAAAAAAACTAATTCAGATCTGAATGCTAGCAAACAGTGGAGCTAGAGATAGAACTAGGAAATCTGTCTCTAAAATTTCTACCCTTAAGTCATTCATTTGGTGAAAGGCAAAAGACATAACTGCAGCAGAACCCCTAGTGACTTAGCCCAACTTTGGATTGTAGGGATACAGTGAAGGCCAGTAAGAACAGCATAGTAAAGAATGGGAGAGAATGCAGTGTGTTAGTGTCAAATAGCAGCCTATGAAAAAAGTACTTGCAGCTCATAAGCACAGGACTGCCATTATAAAAATACCATGTACTTGCCTGATAACTTCACATTTTGCAGAATACTTTCTAATCTATCACTGCATTGATCCTCTCCAGAACCTTCAAGTAGACAGTACATTTATCCCCTACTAAACAATTAAGAACTGAGGCCCAGAGCAGTAAGTGGCTGTTCCAAAGCGATACAACTTGCCAATGAAAGCAGGACTAGAACCCCTGTCATCTAACTCCATGTCTAGTGCCCTTTCTACCAGACTATACCAAGAATATATTCTCTATCTCCAGCGGTTGGAAGGAAGTACTGCTTTTCTTCTATTGAGGTTCAGGGCCATGTGGCATTTTAGACATGGAAGGCCATCACCTGGGAAGTACTCAGTGTTCCTTGATAGAGATACATCGTGAGGTTATATCCAGAAATATTTCTAAGTATATTTACTAAGTTTAACAGAATTTCACTGGGGTAATTTGTTCACTTGAATTAGTATAATGGGTTGATATTCCACTTTATGTTACATGAAGTTGATATATTTTAAGAGATTTTTCCATTCATTCTAGAACCATTATGTCCCCTATGTATCCAATGCTATGATCTTTCTAAAATGCAAAAACACTTGACACTTCAGCCAGAACTTTGGCTCCTTTGATATATCTGTAATGTAATTTCAGATATCAGTAAGACTAGAGGGGATTCATAAGGTTTAAGACACTACATAAATAAGATTTCTATAGAAAGAGCATTCAAAAAATATATCAGATACTTTAGTAATTATAGGGGAAATATATTTCTGCATGCAGATAATGGAGTGTTAAAATGTTTGGAAAATTGCCTGTCACAAGACAAATCTTACCCACTTACTCATGTTCCTCAAGCATTTGGTCTTCATGTTTTCAATGCAGCAGTGCCATTCTCTGCAAATACCAGAAGGAATTTCTTAAGAAATTAACTTGCAAATCTGCGGTATCCTTAGGGGAAAAAATTAATTTTTTAAAGTATTTTTCAACATAGAAATATCTATGTAAAGCATGTAGTAATCAGAGTCAGTATGTCAAATAGTGAAGAGATATCAGTGATAAGAAGAGAGCTCTGAATAGAACTAAGTGCTTCAAATCCCAAATTCAGTGTTTTGGCTGATTTTTCTGGTGTTGTCATCTAAAATTATAGAAAGGAAAGAATAATTTAAAGAAATGCATATTTTTATAACTAAGATGTGTTAACTCTCCATTTTTGAAAGGGTAACTGAAACAAATGATCTTTAATGGGTTTTCTTTCTTGTTTAGCTTAGCTACCCCTGGTTAGTATCTGCCAGTTAACTTAATCCTTTGCTCCCTTTTTTCAATGATACATAAACTTGAATTGCTAAGGAATTAGCTCTATAAGGATCAGTGGAATTCTCATCTCATTAGAATCTTAATTTTTTCCTAATTGTGTCCAACAGAAATCTTCTTCCTTTGAAATCTCTATAACATAGTGTCTTTGCTACTTACTTGTACCATTTATATATATTACCTTCAGAAATTCTATTTTCCTGACATATCTTATCTCCCAGCTGGACCATAAGCTCCCTCGAGGTAGGAACAATTTTTTTTTTTACTTCTTTATATTACCAAATATAAAGAATATACCAAATATACTATTTCCATGGTACTTGAAAGTAGAAGACACTCATTATGTCTGAAATTATAAAGAAGATTTAGTAAAGGATATAAAACTAGAAGGGACAGCAAGAAAAGCACTCCAGGCAATCTTTATCAACTCATAGTAGTTTCTTTTTTTTTTTTATGATAAAGGTATTATAGGAAAGTGGAATGATTTTTGTGCAGCACAACAAAAGCCTTAAATTATTTATTTCCCTGCTTCAGTTTAAATGCTTTCTTTCACACTTGACGAATGAATTGATAGTCTAACCCAAAATTTTCTGCCATTAACAGGATGGAAATTTTTCTCTCAATACTGTATTTGAAAAACCTCCAAACATGATGGTGGTCGGACAGTCCGCATTTGCAGACTTTGGTAAGATTCTTTTCATTTTTCAAATTCTACCCCTCTCTCTAACCTAGTCATATTAATTTCCCATCCCTGATATAACTTTATTGCCTTCAGAACTATTAAAGATTTAAAAGATGGCTTTTCTAGTATTATACATGGTAGATAGTCAATTCCTTAATACAAGGAGCAATTTATGACATTTATGTTTAAAGTATAATTTGAACTTAAGGGACTCCTGTTTGCAGGAGTAACATGCAAAACAAGGAGGTCTGTTGAGGCTTTTCTAGAGAATACCAAATAGTAATTATTGTGAAAAAATCTTCATATATATCTAGATTATGGAACCAAAAAAAAAAAAAATTTGGAGTTAACCTGACCTCTTGAAACTTGGATAATAAAAACCATTTTTATTTACATCTTAATTCCAAAGAAGAATAACATCTATTAGGAATTTGTCACATGAGAACACATGAATCTCTGTTTTCCATGAGATTCTACACCATAAATCAAGTTCACACTGGTTAGGAACTTCTAAAACATGTATGGCTCTTTCACCATTTGTCAATTATTATTAAAAAGGATTTTGGTATTAGATGGGAAACTAGTCTAAATGACCACCATCTAAGAGTTTGAAGCTCACTCCCCTCCTACTTTTCCTTCATTCTGCCAATAAACACCTCAGCCTGTTCCTCAGAATCCAGATGACATGTCACCATGTCCAGAGGCCTCAGTTTTCTCATTCATAAAATGACAGCGACGATCATATCCACCTCACAAGACTACAGTGAATAACACAATGTGAGTAAAGCACAGTGTCAGGCAAACAGTAAGATCACAAGAAAATACTGTATAATATGAGTCTTTTCATCAGACTTACCTGGTTTTATTGTTGTTACTGCTCTTTGCTCAATTGACTAAATCAATTAATCGATCAATGTCATAGAGATAAATCCTAAGGCAGCTAAAGCAGGTTTAATAGTGTTATTTGATGGAAACATCCACATACATCTATATATTGTAGTGTATTTTAGTTTAATTATGTTGAATATTACTTTGATTTTGAGCAGATTTCTGGTGCCTGATTTATAGTCTTTAGTAAGCAAATAGTCAAGTTACAGAATATATGAAATTATTTTTTTTAATTTGCTGACTGACTTGATTAGCTGGATTAATGACAAATACTTTTCCAAGTCTCTCTCTAGAAAAAAAAGTATATATGCATCATGTAATTTTCAGAGGGCACATAATACCTCCCTTAATCTCTGGCTAAGAATCTCCAAATTGTCGGGGGGGAGGGGAGGTGTGAAAAGTCCAAATTGAAATTACTTGTTTTATAATTGTGTGTTTTGTATGATAAAGTGCCTTGTTTTAACAAAATTATTAGTAGCTTTACTTAAATTTTTTTTTTAATTCTTCTAACCATAAACTTAGACATTTACATGTTGGTATTTTTTAAATGTGCAAAATATAGGATACAGTCCATTAAGAAACATAACTATATATCCCCCCTATTTTTAATGACTTTAGGTAATGTATCAGTAAACACTTTTAATATATCAGTAAGCTTTAAGTAAATATCCCACAATGTCTTTTTAAAAGTCCATGTATTTTTAGTTGGGTATTATCAAAAAACAAGACTGCTAATGAGTCCAAAAAAGCAGATGACATCGAATAAGGTTACAAATGTTAATATATACAAAATATACATTTTCTATACATTTGCATACATCTGTGAATTTCATCCTGCCCTCCATCCTCAACTCCCCCTGAAATGCGCGTGCATGCGCACACACACTCTCGCTCTCTCTCACTCTCTCTTAGAACCAAGTCAAGAGAAGAGACTGACAGCCAGGAAGTCAGCATGATTTCAGAAATTCACCATTTACCAAATGGGTAACAATTGGTTAAAAAAAGCACTGGCTTGAATAAGTAATCGAGCTTACAGGAAGAATCCTATACCAGAAAGGAGGGTTTAAGTGCCTCCCAACTCACTTAAGTTGTTTAGGAACAGAAGTTGTTTTACAGCTATGATGAAATTTTTAGCTGCTAACATAAAATATTTTATTCAAGATTTTTAAAACTCTACTTTAAATTTAGGCTATTCTGATCTAGCCAAAGGGAGGTGGGTAGGGTGGTTTGACACACAAATCAGGAGCCTTTACCAAAAAAAACCCAGAATAATTACTCAAGCTAAATATAATGTTATTTATTTCCTTAATAAAACAAAGAAATACTATTCCAGAAATCAGCTAAATAAAACTCCATGGAATATTATATAGCCAGTGAAAATGATGGCTATGAAGATTCTGTTAGAAGAAAGGAGCAGAACAATATGTTACACAATGTAATCATCTTAAAAAAAAAACAGATTAGAAAAAAATATATCAAACTGATAGTAATGGCTATGTGAAAGCAGGTTAATAGGTTATCTTACTCCCTGTTTTTCAGATCTTCTGTTATGTGGTTAGATTAATATATTAATTTAATTATTAAAAAGTAAATTATGGAAGAGTAATAGTCAGCAAGGGCAAGAAAGAAACCAAAGTATGCACCTAAAGTGTCATTAGATTTTTTTGGCATAGTACTTCTAAGTTCATATATAATTGATCCTATCCTCTGAGTTGGATGAACTTCTTCAGAGTACTTTAACAAGAACTTTAATTTTAATAAGATCTTTAACTCCTACAAATAAAATGCAAAAGTTAGACCTCTTATGTTTCAAATATTGTACTGAATGCCATGTAATAAAGCACAGATTTTAATGTAAAGTCCTTGCCTTTAAGAAATGTATTGTATAATTGGGAAAACAAAAGACAGATTTGTAAAAAACACAAGAATAGAGTAACAACTGCCACAATATATGAGAAACTAGACTATATTTCACTGTTAATTACAGAATTAATGCCACAGACAAGATGCAAAGTATTGTGGCAAATTGAATCACTTTAGGCTGAGAAAGGATAGGAAGACTCATGGAAGAGGTGAGATTTTGGACTGGACTTTGAAACAACTCTGAAGTTTGGCTAAAAATATATAGAGTTATAAAAACACGGTGTGGGGGTGCCTGGGTGGCTCAGCCGTTAAGCGTCTGCCTTCGGCTCAGGTCATGATCTCAGGGTCCTGGGATCGAGCCCCGCATCGGGCTCCCTGCTCGGCAGGGAGTCTGCCGCTCCTGCTCCCTCTGCTACTCTCTCTCTCTGTCAAGTAAATAAATAAAATATTAAAAAAAAAAAAAAAAAAAAAACACGGTGTGGTTAGTGACTAATGAGTAAACCACTTAGGCTTGAATAGATTTTCTGTAAAAAATGTAAAAACATATAAAAATGGACTGAGAACACATTGAATTGCCAAATGATAGCAGATGAACAAATCTTAATTTTATTCTGTGAAAGCAGTGGGAAGTAGTAGAACAATTTTGAACATCTTTTTGTTATTACCTTTTTAAATTAACTTCAGAAAGTAAAAATCTTCTGGTCTGGTGGGATATGCAGAAGGTATTGCTTCTTGGGACATGGAAAAGGATTCAGGGGAAAATCATTAGAATCTCTGATATGCCTGAGATTTTTATATCAAAAGAGAGGCAGATTTAAAGTCTTAAGATACTGGATTTCTAGGGATAGAAACCAGTCAGAAGACAGGTCAGGTCTGAAATAGTAAGAGCATGCACTAACTACATCAATAAATGGGAGGGACAAGTGTGAGAAACATTGCAAAGAAAGAATCAGTAAATTTAGTGATTGGTTTGACACTAGAGAGTTTAAAAAAAAAAAAAAGCCTCTGAATGACTAAAAGAATTATTTTCTTTACCGTCCTTCATAGAGATAGGTAATTAGAAGAGAAAGCTGGTTTGAATACTTTAGAGATACTTTAGAGTCAACATGTTAATTATACTAGTAAGATAACAGAGCTGGAACATATAGGTAACCTAGGTTCAGGAATAAAGCAAAGCAAATTTAAAAGTCCTCCAAGAGATAAGAAGTCAAGACCCAAATGAGCCCTCTAAGGAAGAGAGTATAAATAACTTGACAGAGAAAGAAAGAATAAAAGGTGGTGGAAAACCACTGACGATATTATGACAAGAAAAGGCCTTTGCATTTACAGGTTACAAGGGCACAAGTGACCCAAAAGGCATTGTTTGTAGAATTCTTTAGCAGTCTCTGAGCCTTAGAAATCAGCTCATAAATAGTGGCCGCTACTGGTTAGTGTCAGATGAGGTACTTGGGAGATCTGCAACCCATAGATGCCTCTAATAGTTAAGCAGTCATCTTCTAGAAAACATATTTTGTGTCTTATCATACTGTATAACTCTTTTAAACTATATGTTAGAGTTTGGTCAGAATATCATATTCTAGGGTCAGAATATCCTGGGTGGCTCAGTCAGTTAAGCGGCTGCCTTCAGCTCAGGTCATGATCCCAGGATCCTGGGATCGAGCCCCGAGTGGGCTCCCTGCTCAGCGGGGAGCCTGCTTCTCCCTCTCCCTCTGCCTGCCGCTCTGCCTACTTTGTGCTCTCTCTCTCTTTGTCAAATAAATAAATAAAATCTTAAAAAAAAAAAAAACGTATTCTAGAATTTCTACAGACAAGGTGGTATCTCTTTATTAAATTACATAGGACAAAAAAAGTCAAGAAAAATAAGCTACGTTTTTTTCCTATCAAATAGAATTTTAACCAGATTTAGAGAAAACGTTAATTTTGTATGCAATGCCAGATATAGGAGAAATCAATAAAAAGCTACAAAACTAAAGGGATAATTGAAAGCTTAATAGAATGTTAGCATTTTCTATAAATTGAATCATTTTAAATCTCATAATACCTAATAAATTTGTATATCCAAATCTGATGCTAACTCATGTATATCAGATCATCATAAGAAGATCACACTTTATTCTTCAAGTGAAGGGAGAAGACCTAGCATGTTGGTGAAGCCTGGGAATTGTCAATCAGGTCATCTAAATAATTTTATAAGGTATAAAGGGGCTGAGGGGTGCCTGGGTGGCTCAGTCGTTAAGCGTCTGCCTTTGGCT